TCGTTAGATACAAGCAATTTGGTGTAACTGTGGAAGAACTGTGCAGTCTAATGGATTAGGAGCTGACTGCTGGATATGGATCAGTATATTTATAATATAGCCCCATGTGGGCAAAGTGTCATTTTGTCCATAATATGTCTCCGAAAATGTACCTGCCCTTTGAAAATCTGAAAGTCAAACAACACGTTAGCTGTTCTGAATGGTAGAATGTAATGGAAGGCCACCATCCCCTGGCCCGGGAAATTCTGCACATGTACATATTCTTCAAAGCCCCCACCTAAGTTTAAAGGGGGCCTTGATGGTGGTTATGGGATAGTCCTTATCCATGTGCCTCCCTCCACATCTCAGGGTCTGCACAGGGGCTGGCACCTGGCACTGGTATTGACAACCCTGTACAAGGTCGTCTTCCACCTTTCCCTCAGGATACAGTAGGCATTTGTCACGTGGGTGGGGGTTGTAGTCTTTTCCCCACTCCTTCTTCCTTTGTACTGCGGCAGAGTTTGGACTGTGCACACATCCTCTCAGGAGACTGCTGCATTCCCAACCTTGGCTGCAGGGCACTGTGGTGAGTGCATCGGGGGTGATAGGAGGAGGGAATGCAGAGCACAGTGGAACACAGCCAGGGGGAGAAGGAAGGTGGAGCTCTCCCTCAGAACTCCCGCTGGGGACAGGCCATGGCCCCAGGGAGCAAAGGCTGTGGACTCCGTGGTTATCCTTCATGGGATTCTGCTAGGCACTGCCCCAGCTTCAAGTAGGACAGACTAAAGAATTTCGGGCTCATCCTACACGTGGCGTAAAGCTCTGATTTGCTTTAAGAGAATCCAGCTAGATCTCTAAAGTATCACTCTGACTGCACTGTGAAAAGTCAAGTCTAGGGAGCCGCTCTGGAGGAAAGGCGCCCCTCACGAAGCTCTTGCTTCCCATCTGGGCGAGGGCCCCTGATGGCTTGAACTACCGTCGCAGCAGCGAGGAGAGAAGCATGGAGAGATTTGAATGAGCACTATGACGTACTGATAGCACTTGGTAGCTTCCGGAACTGGAGAGGAGTGGGCAAGGAGTCAGTGACAAAGCCCAGGTGCCTGGCTTTAATGGCTGGTGGAAGGCTGTGCCATGGGTGTGCATCATCCAGAGGTGTAGTATTCCCATGTGCAGCTTCTGTCCTCGTCCCGTGCCAGCCCTGGCACGGGGAGCCGCCCCCCTCCACGTTCATGTTTGTTCAGCCAGAGCAAAGCCTGCCTGGACAATCTGGTTTTCACTGAAGGTTTGATTAGATAGAAAGATCAGTCCAGAGGCTGAGGGCTGCATCACGCAAACTCTACAAATTTCTCAAACATCTCTCAACATCTTTTTCTCTTTGCTCTCTCCACTGCCTGGACCAGGCCTCAGTACCGTGTTCCATTTCTGAGAATTGTTTTGTAACTTGATATCAGAATCTCTTTATATATTTAAACCAGGAGGATTGTTCTTTTAAATTCTAATTTTCTAAGGCACAAGAGTTGATAGCTCACTTTTTCTAAAGCAGAATTGAAGAAAAGGATATCATCCATTTACTATGTATTGAGAACCTGACTGCAGGAGAAAAAAATCTAACATGGAATGGGTGAGGTTGCTATTACTCCTTTTTAAATTCACCTTTTCTGGGGGAATGGCCTTGAAAGAGAGCTGGAAACTAGATTATTGCCTCATAAAACAGCAAGAGGTTTTATTTATTCTTTAATTTTATATCTTTATTATGAAGTAATACTTCTCTTACTTGATTTGAAGAGTGTTCCTGTCTTTTTCTCATATATTTGTGAAAATGAAATGTTAAAAGATTTAGCATAACAACCACTGCTAAATTATGATGTAAAATAATACTGTGTCTGCAATTAGCCTAGGTAGTTTTACTTGGTTCAATAATATAAAATCACTGGGCTCATAATGTTTTAGTACCTTAACGTGTTTGGCAAAAAAAGAAATTCATGTTACCATAAAGAAGTTAAACTAAGTAACAATCTCAATTTTAAGGAAACATAAAGCAAAGTATTATGTTGTAACATGGAACATTAATGCAAATAGCTCCCCAACTGGAACCTTAAATAGATTCTCAATGGGCGGTTAACAAAAAAAAAAGGCTGGTTTTTTCTTAATTCTTTTATGTTCCAACATCTTTTCTGAAGTCTTAATTTTTAATTTCACTTGAGTTATTACCTTGTCCTGAGATGGTGGTCCTTCTAGAAAATGATTACTTCTTTCCTAATGATCCATATCCTTATTTTAATTGCTAGGTATCCTTTCTGGAAATACTACATTGAAACCTTGATGACATCTTAAAAATCATTTTAGTGTGGTAACCATATGTATGTTGTGGGTTGAATTGGATCCCTTAAAAGATAGGTTCAAATTCTAACCCCATTACCTGTGGATGTCACCTTATATGGAAGTAGTGTCTTTGCAGAAGGAATCAAGTTAAGATGAGGTTTTTTAGGGTAGGTTCTAATCCAGTGACTGGTGTACTTTTGGGAATAGGAAAATTTGGACACGGAGGCACACACACAGAAGAAGTCCAAGTCAAGAGATGGGCGGGGAGAATACTGTTGAGTATGGAAGCAGAGTTGGAGTGATGTATCTACAAGCCAAGAGATGCCAAGGATTGTGGGCAACACTAGAAACTAGGAAGAGACAAGGAATGATCCTTTTCTAGGGTCTCCAGAAGGAGCCTGGACCTGCCAGCACCTTAATTTAGGACTTCTTGCTGTCAGAACTAAGAGACAATAAATTTCTATTGGTCAGAGCCACCCAGTTTGTGGTACTTTTTTTAAACAGCAGGCTTAGGAGTAATTGGCCAGTCTGTTATCTAGGTAGTGAGGAGAATATGCCTCTAAAGGAGATGATCTGCCACACCTCCATCTGGGAAGATGGAGGAAGGGCGCATGAGGTCGGCAGGTGTCAGTCTTAGCAAGGTCAGCATCAGCGGGACTAGTGGCCTGCACTTACTGTGGTGGGCCCATACCCAAGGCGAGCCTGACCTGGGTGGTCTTGGTCACGAGGGGAGGGAGCAGTACACAGGGCTGAGGATTGGGATGGAGGTCTTCAAGGATAGGAGGAGCAAGCAAGAGATCAGTAAGAATGAAGATGAATGACCCAGATTAGATGCCGTGAATCAGTCCTTAAGGAGAAGGGGAGAGTGGGAGACAAAAGAGGGAGGAAGCCCAGGTTTTCCAGTCACCATTTCCCACGCCCACCCCCAACACAAAAAAGTCACATCTGTACATCTTGAACTCCCTGCCTGCTTATCTTTCTGAATCCAAATACATGCTGCCCCAACTTTCAGTGTGCTTCATACTTACTCTTCCTCCTTCATGTCATATATGCTGTAAAACTGTGTTGTTCTTTAAAGGACAGTTCCCTAGTTTTGGAGTATACTTAATCCGTGTCTTATGGAGACTGTCACATTACATACATACAAGTTACATTCCTATTTTATGACTTTTAACTCTTAAGATTAAAAAAAAAAATCTTTAATCTGTATCTCTGGGTCTTATATGCATAAAACAATTTACAAGCTATATGTTAAATTTCCTTTGTAATTTTTAAAATGTATTCTCATAAGGAAAGTAATAGGTTTGTTGTAGAAAATATTGCAACGTGGAAAAGAAAAGAAATTAAAGCCACAGCTGCCTGGTTATAGTAGGGAATGTACGAATGGATGTTTCTAAAATGGAGCAAAACACCTGCGTATGTTGAATTTCAATAAACTGGGGAAAATGTTTCTGCAGAACACTTATTGGAATACTTATCTTTCACTAAAATTATATCTTCAGAGAATTTCGATGGCACTAAATATTCCTTGGGTTTAGCACTTTATATCTAATTTATGCCAGTGAGAAATCTTTTTCTAAACTTTTTATTTTTAAAATGAGGATTTGAAGGGCTACAGATGCATCATTGCTATTTTAAATTGCATTTTATTTATTAATGAGTGAGCATTGTTTTGTGGTGATGGACCATTTTTCTGTAGAGGTGTGTGTGCATTTCTCTTTGCATTGTAAGAACTCTTTATATGTTAAGGACATTAGCCTATTGTGTTTGATATTTGTGCAGATATTTCTTTTTATATTTTCACATATCTTTTAATTTTTATCTTTTTTTTTTTTGATGTAGGTGTGAGGGGATTCAAGAGGTTATTTGGCTTTTTTGTTTTGTATTCCATTGTTTGTGTTACAAAATCTTTCTCCATCTGGGAATTAAAAGAAATTATGCCTGTTTTTCTTGGAGCTTTTTTATACTTCAGTTTGCCTGGAAGGTTTTAAATATATAGTATGGAGTAAAGATGAACTTTTTTTGAATAATTAACTGATTGTCTCACTATGGTTTATTAATGAATTGTCCTTCCCATATATGTTTGTAATACCTTTTTTTTATTGTAATAGTGTTATTTTTATTCTCTATTTAAAATTGACCATGTAAGCTTTGCACAGTGGCAGTATTATAGCCAATGAGGTTTATCCAAGGCGTGATTATTGCTAATTAAAATTGACCATGTATTTTATGACCTTCTATTCTTTAAAACTGAATAATGGTCATCTGGTAATTCAGGCAAATTTTCCTTTATAGCAAGCTGTCATATTAAGATACACATTGTATTTTCTCAATTCATGTGCTTCAGAAAGTGATCAATTAATACAGACTCTTAATTTTTAATCTGTCATTGCTTAATGACAGATCTCTTTCAGCAAAATAGTTTATTATAGACCGTGTCTCCAAAATTGTCCTCAGATGTTTTTGTTTATAGTATTCCTGAGTAGCTGTTCACATACTCCAATTTTACCGTGATGTGATTTTCAAGATCATTAGGTCTATAAGATATGGAGATAACATTAATGAGTTTTGTTCTTTGAAAATAATGCTCTCATGGATTATCCATTATCACATAAATCATATTGTGCTTTGGTAATTTGCAAATAAATAAAAAAATAACTTTTTCATTTTTCCTCTTTGTTTCCATCTTTTTGTTTTAGATCATCCACTTTTAATTGAAGGAAGTTGCTTCTGTTTGGAGGTGGCTGGAGAAGTGAGAAAACCACATGGAAGACTCCCAGGACTTAAATGAGCAATCAGTAAGTCTTATTCAGTCTCAAGTTTGCTGAAAAAAGTTGTGGCAAACCCACTCAAAATCATACTAAAAGGAATATATCATAAAAATCAAGAGTTTTGTTAAAAATATATATTTTAGTTGAGTTTTGAATTCTCTTCTAAGGCCATAAAACAGACCTTTGGAAATGTACGCCATTTCTGCTTAATGATGTCACATTTTGAGGTCTCCCTTGATTGTCTGCTTCGAAAGCCAGTGGTAGAAAGACTAGGGCATTTAAATCATTTCAAGTGTTTTTATGGTCTAAACAATTTTGCACACCCTCTTTATTTGGTTTTATTGCCAAGGTGCTTAGATAGCGCATGTAGTGTTGAATGTCAGAAGCATAACAGGAGGTGTGTTACCAGCATGCCTCTTGTTCACTTTAGGGATGGCAGCCACAGTCCTCCTGTGCCTTCACGGGCTTCCTCATTTTGCTAGTTCTCTGCAGAGTGAAGAACGCACAAGATTGGTGGCAGTCACTCTAAGATTCTGCTTTTCTCGAAGGGAAAGGGTTTCCAGGGCCTTTGCTCCTAACTCACTAGTAGTGTCTCCATGGCACTAATGCTTTAGTGGGTGGAACTGAAGTCAGTGCGAGGTCTTTCCTCACACTCGCACACCATAGCCAACCATGGCCCAAGCCCTTTCTCTCATAGACAACCAGCAATGTCACAAGTAAGGAGACATGGGAACCTACCAAGGGTATGTTATGCAGATTGATGCTATTCTTTAGTAGCTTGTATGATCATGACTTGATCTTAGGATCTGATGTTCCTACGAGGCAACAGAAGAGAGTGCATTTGTGTATAATAATGTGGTTCTAGAAAATACTTCCGTGATGAGCTTGGTTTTGAAATACAGAGGAGTATATGTTCTGGTGAATACATGCCATTTCAAATTAATTTGTTTTTAAAAATATTTCATTTAAAAGAAAAGATGATAACCAAGTCTTTAATTTCCAAACAGACACAACCATTGCCTAATTTCATTGTATATTATCTTAAATAAAGTAAAATTATTTAATTTTCCATGACATCATTATAGAAAAATGTAACAAAAAATACAAAACTATAAAAGTATAAAAAAAAGTCTGTCAAATGGTAGAGGTGTTATTCTTCAAAAATTTCTTGACTAGACAAATAGCAATTAGGAGGCAGGGGCTTCCAAGGAGTTATTTTTTTGAATGCTGGTTATCGTAGTGTGGACTCTAACAAAATGGATGATAGCATGATGATGTCACCCACGCGATTGCCTGTTTATGGATCCCAGTAGCGTCAGAGGTCTGTAAGTGCGACCATGTATGTACCTGATTGAGTAATGTCATTTTAGTGGTGCTGCTTCATGAGAGAGCCACTGTTGATCTATACTTTGTTCTGACACACTGAGGGTTACTTAAATGTTTGTGTGCATGTGTGCATGTGTGCCTACGTGTGCATGCGTGCATGTGTGCCTGAGTGTGTGTGTGTGTGTGTGAGAGAGAGAGGGAGAGAGAGAGAGAGAGAGATTGACCAACTACCCCTGTTTTCCAGAGACCCTGGGCTTGCTCAGGACATGGAACTTTCAGAGATAATGCAGGTGCAGTCCCTGCAGACTGGAGTGGGTGATCTACTTATGTGTGTATCCTCAAGAATATTTGTTTTCAGTGTAGTGGAGGTTAAAGAGACTATGTTCTTATGTTTAACATTAGAGTGAGATTATTACACAAGATGCTTCATATGACGTTTTACAAAGTGAAACTGAGCATTTGTAAATCATACATAGTTTCCTCCAATGTTATTTTAGGGTTACGGAGCTCAACATTTAAAAACAATTTTTTTTTTTTAAGTTCCTGGTGTTGCTAATGTGCATCCAGGTTTGAAAACCAGAAATCTAGTGTCACCTTCTGGCTTCTCAGCTCAAACTCAGCTACTGAACTTTTGGTGAGAATGGGGGAGATTTTGAGAAAAGGAAAGAATGCTCTCCACTCCTCCCCTCCCACTCCCCCCCCCCCACCACCGGCACCTCACATTGAACTCTCCAGCTGAGGGTTATCATCTGGTCAGAGTCAGATTGGGAGCTCCTGATATATAGTGTGGTTTGATAGGCCATCAAAGAGTGGGCACTTTTGGTTTAAAACACAGGAAGCTTGAAGTTTGTGTCAGGTGTTAATGACTTAAGGGCTTTGGTTTTATAAAGATCCTAAAGCCTTTCTCCTTCAGCATCCATAGACTTAGAAGAACATATAGGCCAATCTGTGCATCTTGTACATGTACTGAGGGACCCTTGGGACTGTTAATGACTTGCCCATGATGCCATGGCTAGTAAACGGCAGAGTTGGGACTTCACCCAAGTCTTCTGACTCCAAGTCCAAAGCTCTTTCCAGAACATCGACATGACTTATGGCTTTGGGGTTTTCTTATTTTGACATTCATCACTATAAGAAATGTCAAAAAAATTGAATCAGCCCCTTTCCATTGAAATGATTTCTATTTGAGTGAAATCTTTAAATGACATTAAATTGTATAAAGTATGTTTCAAATATTTTGAAAAATGATACTTAGCCTTTATTAAGATATAGAAAAAATAGAGTAGAATTAAAAGAAAGTTCATAATAAGATGAAAGGAAATTTTCTCAGATCATAGAGGAATTCTTTCTCTAGGCATAGACATAACAGTGGGTACCAGTTATTGCACATATAGATTGAATCTAGCATTTTCCATATTTTCTCTCTAATCTTTAACATCTTGTGATGTAATTGTTATGGTCACCATTATACAGTATACATTATACAGATGGGGAAGCTATGGCTTGGAGAGTGTCAAGGTCACTTGGCTGTTAAGTAGCAGTGATTAGAACTGAACCCATGTCTATCTGGTCCTAAAACCTGTAATGGATTTTGCATGATACAGCATAGTGTAGTGGGTAAGGACTTGAAATCAGAAATCCCTGACACTTAAATACTTTGTAACCATTAGGAAATTACTTAAACTCTTCTTCATATGTAGTGTGGGGAGGATAATAAAAAGAAGTTATATGAAAGGCTTAGCATATGCCCTGCTTAGAGTAGAAACTTGGTAAATGTTAGCTGTTATTACAATTACCTGACATATTCAGATGGACTTTAAAGAGTATGCATTCATTCTTGCATATCCAGTTACCTTCTGGCAGAAAGCCCTGCCTGGAGGTGCATAGGTTTACAAACTCAGCATATGACAACTGAGCTCACAAGCTCTCCTCTCCCAATTTTTCTCCCTTTCTCTTCTGTTTCAGTTCTTCTCATCTCCTCTGAGGATGACGTCCTCAGCTACAGAGTGGATTAAATCAGAAAGCAGGGACTCATCCTTCTCTCCTTCATCCCCATTTCAAACTCCTGTCTCTTCTTAAATTTTACTATCTCTCAAAGCTGTTCTCTCTGCTCCAGCTCTTATTTTGGATCTCTATTTTATCTCTTAACTGTCTTTTTCTGCTTTAAGTTGCTTCTAGAGTGGTCTTCCTGAAATACATACCTGCTCATGTTGCTGTTCTACTTAATATCTTTCACAGGCCCTTTCTTGCCCTCAAGGGAAAGTCCCAAGCATGCAGTGAAGCCCACAGAAGCAACTGATTGCTTACCTCTATCTCTTCGGTATTCTTTCCGGGTTCTTTTGGTTCCCGGAATCTTGCAGGTTCTCTGAGGTTTCTGTGTCTTTGCTAGCGCTGTAACCTCTTCCCAGATGGGTCTCTGCTCCACCGAGGTACCTTGTAAATCTGGAAGACTCAGTGTGGGTTACAGTTCCTCTGGAGTGCCTCTTTATTCCCCAGGCTGTCAGCCTTGCTGGGTCAGGGGTCTCTACGAGGTGCTGCCAATGACATTTACCTCCATCCCGGACTTACCCCACAGAACTGAAATCTTATCTGTTTATTTACCTCTCTACTGGATTATAAAGTACTTAAGAGTAATAGCGAGTCTTGTTCATCTTGTATCCTTACTTCTTAGCACAATTCTTGCTGACATTTAATGAATGTTTTCTTCAAAAGCTTTTATATACTGTTACATGCTAAAGTATGTTATTGAATAGCCTGATGAATTTTAGAAAGCCAAAATGTTATTCTCAAAATGGATTACTGACTCATGAATTCATGTTTCACTTACATTTTTAAAAAATTGCACATAACATATAATACTCACTTAACAGCATGTAATCAAAACAAAGTGTGGTTCTTAAATTTTTTTTTTTTTTTTTTGCATTTTATCTGGATCTTATTTTGCAGTCTGGCTGAGAGCATCTAGGGAATTTTAAGAGGTCAGCAATTAAAGTAAGGTTTAGTTTTCATATTTGTCTGAAATTCTATATTAGAACTTCATAATTATTTAGAAGCAGTTTTATATCCAATTATAACTACAGTTTTTAACTAAGTTGTTAATAGAAATAAATATGAATCTAAATTATACATAGCAGTATCTATACTAATAATCATAAGTTCCTTTGATACTGTGAAATATGTTATATTCCCTGTATTCAAATAAAGACTGAGCAATATTTGTTGGTTTCATAGCTTCTATACTATCCTTACACATTGAGATATCTTGAAGTCCTATTTTGATGATTTCCCATAGATTTTTTTCCCTCACATTATTCATTCATATCAAAGTGAGAGGGAGTATTGCCTAAATTTATCGTCAAGCTAGAAGTTCGGGAAGAAAAATGTTGCTTGTGAATTAAGTACTGTGTGCTATGGAATAAAGCATTAATGAGTACTAAGCAGACTGAGGGAGAATGAATTTTTTACTGTAGGATAGCATTCCCTAATATTAGACATTAAATAGGGCTTGAATATTCCTACATATGTCAACATTGTTACACTTAACTTGAATCACTTAACTCATTATTGATGACATATTTCGGTTAGTGAGGTCTAAATTCACATCCATTCGATCCGTCTTAGATATATGTTGCAGCGGTGTTTTTAGAAGTTTATATATATTTGTAGATACTGATAGTATTTAATTTTGCATCAGATCTACT